CGTGCACCGCGGGCAAGGCTCAGAGGCCCCGAGTCACTCTGCCGCGGCGTCATTGGAGTCCACACGTCTTTCGCCTGAGAAATGAAAGCTCCGGCGCCGGTGCGGGCTCCGCGGCCCCGTCCAGGCACGCCACGCGCACGGCTAAGTGCAGGCGCCATGCCACGCGTCACCCCGGCCCCCGTGCGCCATAACTGGAAGCCCATGCCTTCTGACCCCCTCACCCGTCCGCCCACCCACCTCTGGCGAGCACCAGTCGGAGACTTTTGGTCCGTATTTTCTGTCGCGATTTTACGGCCCTGGGCTTGTGTCCTCTGGCTCGCCTCACTCCGAGATTTCGACACCGTCCCGTGCTCTCTTCCAGTCCTCCGATTGCACTTGTGCACTTAGACCGTCGGCCCCTGTGGGGTCTGTCTCCGCGTGTGTTGGAAGGGCTCTGACTTGCTCATTTCTCAGAATGTCACGCAGCCGCGCCTGTACTGCTGAGCGACCCATCTCTGTTTTGTCCGGTGACACGTCTGTTTCTGCGCTGGCACCGTCATGCGCCTGCGAGGACGAGGGTCGTGACGCGTCTCACCTTAGGTGGAGCCGCCCCCGCCTCCCTCCCCCGTCGCGCTCTGTTTTGCCAGCATTTCCGGTTGAGGTTTCCCCCGGAACTTACACTCAGCTTGTCCAGTTCTCGTAAAACAGCTACTGGGCAGCATGTTGGGCTTCCATGTGAATTAGGGAGCATTCATGTCCGTAGTCTTTAGCCCCTCGGTTTTCCGCTTCCTGGACACAAGCCAGACTTAAAGCTGGGCCTCTTCCGGAGCCCCAGCCCCAGAGAGGGAAAACGCGTGCGTGTGTGTGTGTGCACGCAGAAGCGTGTTTCCTGCATCCTGTTGACATAAGGATCGTCCCCATTTGTAGAGAATTCTTATAAGAGTTTGAGCCAAACTGAGGACATGTGCCGGGGACCGAGCTCTCCGATGCTCTGGAGAATAACAGTTTGCAGCTTCTTTCGTGCATTTGGAATTAAGGAGGGAACGTAAGGAAGACGGCACGGAGGAGGGGGAGAGCCGGGCAGGGACTGGGTTACGGGCTGGTTACCGAGATCACGTGCCCTCTGGAGGGTGGTGACGTCTCTGCAGGAGGAGTCTGAAAAGAGACACATCAAAGCGTGTTGACCTAGATGCACAGACACAGCGGGCAGGGCTGCTCAAGGCAAAGGTCAGCCTTTTCCTAAGGAAGTCGTAGGCCCGGGGTGACCGCCCACCAGGACCTGCCCAGCTGGGGATTCGTGACCAGAGCCCCCGTGAGGTCACCTTCCGCAGAGCCCCATTCCCATCCACAGTCCTGAGTGAGACGTGGAGCGCGTTCCACCTGGGCCAGTTCTGAAGGTCGGGATTCGTCAGGCCAGGCATTTCCAGGTGACGCCGTCCACGTGACGGCAGAGCGGCCGGGCCCCCCGAAGGCCTTGCACGGACTGAACCCCGTCCTGCCGCGCAGTGACTGGCCCTGTGAATGGGTATCACGGGACGAGCCACGCAGCCTGCCCCCCGGTCCCCGCTGAGCGCTGCTGGCAGCCTGCTGGGTTCTCACGAGCCTCAGGGAAAAGTTAAAATTGCCCTCCGCGCCACATGACTCCTTCTGAATCTTATTCGAACTTTTTCTGTAGCGGTCGAGGTCGCTTGATCACTCTCTAACCTTCCATTTTTTTTCCTTTCTAATCTAAACGCTTTTTGAGCTTTGAACGACTCCTGCCCAGAGTGGCGTCTGGGCACCACACCGGTCGGACTCCATGCAACTCCTGCTTTTGGTTTCTTGGCCCCGCGAGGCCACCTCGCCTCGCCTCACGGGGCCTGGGTCGCGGGCCCCTTTGCAGCCCTCCGGGCTCTGGGTCGCCCTTGCCTTGGTTGTGGGCATGGCGGCCGCAGGCCAGGCCTCTGGACACCACTGTCAGCACGTCCGTGGCGAGGGTTTAATCTCAAGGTCAGCATCACCTCTGCCCCATCGGGGACTTACGAGGCTTCACCCACTCCCCACCTTTGCCAGTCTGCCCCCTCCTCTGGTCCTTTGTCACTAATGAGATGCCTTTTAAACCGTCGGCCTGGAGCTGGAGCCAGTTAACTAGTTCCTGTGACTCCTCACCACGCGCGGACAGCTTACCGCACACAAGCGACGGGGCACAGCGGGCAGCAGTCGGCTGAAAGGGCGGTGCGGGGACACAGGGACACAGGGGACACAGGGACGGCAACGTTCCACGGCCGGCTGCGCTCCGCCGAGCTGTGCCGCGCGCCCACGCAGGTCTGGGGACGCTCGGTCCTGGCCCGCCGTCTCAGGGCCAGGGCGGGTGTGTCGTGCCGCTCACGCAGAGCCTGCCGCTCCTCCCGCTGGGCCGGTCTCTGTCCCCCCCTGAGGTTTCGCTGGCCGGGCCCGCCCAGCGGGGACATCCAGGCTGCTGAGACGAGGCGGGGGGGACGTGGATTTCCCAGCGCATCCCGTTCTCTTCACGAAGGGAGCGGTCACCGAGCGGTCACTCAGAGGTGACGTGGACCAAGGCTGTTCCGGGCCGTTCTGAGATGGTTCAGGAGCGAACCTCCTGGGCACGGGCGGCGTTGGCCACGTCGGGGTGGCCTCTAACCGAGCCGTGACACTGACAAGTGTGCTGAAACACTCTCGTTTGGACAGTCCACGCAAACACGTCACCCCCCGACTAGCCTAGTGTGAGCGTGCAGCTGGCGGGCGATGCCCCCTGGGGACGGGGGGCGGTGTCCCCAGGAAGCGCCCTTTACTCTGCGCCCCCGCGGTGACCCGCCCCGGCTTCCTGCGCCGCCGGGCCTCACAGTGGCCCCGGCGGACGCTCCCTGCTGCGTCCCCACCTTCGCTCAGCGTGTGCTCGTGACGCGCGGCCTCGCCGTGTGGGTCGCAGTCACCGTTCTTTCCGCGGCGTGTGCGTGCGGCCGCCTGAGGCTGGGGTTAGTCCTGTCACGTGCTCTGTCCCCGTACCTGGGGTGCATGGGGCACGCTGCAGGCGCCAGGCGCGTGTGGTCACCTGAATGCGTGTTCTAGCGCAGACTTGGGGAGCGCCCCGCCGCCGCCCGCAAGTCCGGGCGGAGCAGCAGGGTGGCGGACACGCATGCAGGTGACGTCTGCGCTGTCCCCACAGAGCTGAATGGCACCGACCTGAAGGACTGCGTGAGCAGCCACAGCCTGAGCAGCAACGCCAGCCTCCCCAGCGTGCAGAGCGGCCGGCGCCTGCGCGAGCGGAGGGCTGCCAGCTGGGCCGTGTCCTTCGAGCGTCTTCTGCAGGACCCTCTGGGGGTTCAGTACTTCTCTGTGAGTAGGGTCGGGCTGGGCCATCTGTGGTTGCTGCTGGGCTCCTCGGGCGGGACCCTTGCCCAGGCCTCGGCACGTGGGCTTCGAGCGCAGGACAGTGGTGGCGGGGTCACCGTGCGATCCCCGAGTGCCACGGCAGGTGTCTCTCCTCGCCCTTGGGGCCGTGGCGGACGGCTGTCGGGCAGAGAGCCCCAGAGGCCAGCCGCACGTCGGCGCGTCCCCCTTAGGCAGCCGCTCGGCTCCATGGAAGTGGCCGGGACCGCCAGCGCCGTCCTGGAGGGCGGCAGCTTTAGGTGAGCCCCCCTCGGGTAC